CAAAACATCCATGATTTCCAAAAACATTTTGAAATATGGACTTGTCAGACCACAGGACACTTTTCCACTTTGTGTCAGTTCATCTCAGATAAGCTCAGGACCAGTGTGTTATTCATACATGTTTTGGCTTTGCATGGTAGAGTTTTAATTTGCATTAAAAAATGTTAAGATGTAGCAACCAGCTATGTTCACTGATGGTTTTCTGAAGTGTTCCTCAGCCCATGTGGTAATATCCATTACAGAATGCGTGACTTTTAACGGAGTGACACCCGAGGGACCAAAGTTAACTAACTAACTAACTAACTAACTAACTAACTAACATTCAATATTGGTTTTCAGCCTTGCCGCTTTCTTACAGAGATTTGTCTAGACTCTCTGAATCTTTTGATTTTATGAACTGTAGATGATCCATAAAAAAATCCCTAAATTCCTTGGAATTGAACATTGAGAAACATTCTTAAACTGTTGGACTAGTTGCTCATGTTCACAAAGTGATGAACTTTACCCCATCTTTGCTTGTGATCCACTGAGCTTTTTGGGGATGCTCCCTTTATTCCCAATCATGACACTCACCTGTTTCCAATTAATCTGTTCACCTGTGGAATGTTACAATCAGGTGTTGTTTTTATTTTAGCATTCCTAAACCTTCCCTTCTGATGCACCTGTCCCAGCTTTTTTGGAACATGTTGCAGGTATTAAATTCAAAATTAGTGAACATTGCAAAAAATCTATAAAAAGTCTGTTTCAACATTAATTATCTTCTCATTGTAGTATATTAAACTGAATATAGGTTGAAAAGGATTTGCTAATCATCGAATTCTGTTTTTATTTATGTTTTGCAAAACGTCCCAACTTCAGTGGAATTAGGGTTGTACACATGTCGAAATGTACAAAAAAAAGGTTGCATAATTGAGTAACTTTTTGCAAACTTTGGACTTAATAATGTGCTGGCTGGTATAAAAAACTTTTTTTTTTAGATGACAGTTATAAACTACAAATTACTGAAAACCACATAAATACACCAAAACATGACATCATTTGGCTTTCCTCTACATGTAACTGATCATGGTGCACCATCATGGCAAAATAAAGTCCGCCACACCATATAATCGTATCGTGTGCAATTAATCGTCAGAAAAATATTAATCGATTCTTTTTTGCACTTGACGATTAATACGATTAATGCCACCAGGCAGACTGACTGGAGATTTCTCCAGTCAGTCTGCTCGGTGCTCCTCTCCAATTCAAATGACGAACAGAAAAAAAAAGTTCTGTAATAACACAATTTAAAATTTGATGTATAGCCTGAAATCTGTAATTTTGACACAATTTGGAACTAGTTTTTATGAAGAGCGAATCTTTCCCACTAAATTGGTCATGTGACTAGGACATAAGTGTGTCCAGGTTCTCCAGGTGATTAATCGTCAAACTAATCGTTATCGGCTACAAACCACAATTAATCATGATAAATTTTTTTGCCAATATTGCTCAACCCTTTATACATACAGTATAAGGGGTGCAACGATACAGGAAATTCACGGTTCCGTTCGATACTTTAGTCCAGAGGTCACTAATAGGCGGACCTCGGTCCGGATCCGGACCGAGTGGGGGTCTCATGCGGACCCGAACGCAATACATGATCAGTCCCTTTCATAAGTCAAATCCGCACAATTGCCGCACAGACCAATCCGGCTTTAAGCGTCCCCAGGTCATTCATAAGACCACAGGTGAAGGCGGGCAGGTCCCGCTCACGTAAACGTGTTCATAATGAACCCGCAGCGCTGATCCAAAAGAGGCGTGGAGCGGCTGAGCTGAACCGGACCGTGACGTAGCTTTTTATTATGGGACAGGCGCCTGCTGCCTCGTATCAAACAAAACAACTGAATTAGCTCACTTCAGTGATTCTGTGGCGGTTAAATATTTTAGAAATAATTATACAAAGTTACTGTTTCGTGTCATTTTTAATATTCCCTCTAATAATTCTCCAGCTGCGCTGACGTATCAAGCGCGCGCGCGCACACACACACACATGTTTGTTTCTCGACCCTGTGGGGACCTTCCATTGACTTCCATTCATGTTTTTTAGACTTTATATCCTAACCCTGACCATATACTCTAAAATTAACCCCACAGAAACTTCTGACCCTAAAACTAACCTAAACCTTGGTCCTAAACACAACCCCACACCTGTAACATGCATTTGGACCAATGGGGACCTGACATTGGTCCCCATGATTCACTTCGGTCCCCACCTGGCTTTTTTTTTTTTGGTAAAAAATACCCCACGTTGAAGGAAAAACCCATCCACACACACACACACACATGTTTGTTTCTCGACCCCGTGGGGACCTTCCATTGACTTCCATTCATGTTTTTTAGACTTTGTATCCTATTCCTGACCATATACTCTAAAATTAACCTCACCGGTACCTAACTGAGCCTAAAACTAACATAAACCTTGGTCCTAAACATAACCCCACACCTGTAAATTTCACCCTCGTCAGGACCGAAGTGAATTGTGGGGACCTGGCGGTCCCCACGATTCACTTCGGTCCCGCACGAGGGTGCTTTTTTGGGGGGAAATTGTCCACACGTTGTAGGAAAAACCCGCACGCACGCACGCACGCACACGCAAACACACACACACACACACACACACACACACACACACACACACACA